GTCTTAAATGAATATTTTTCAGTACGAGAAAGAGCGCTGGGCGCAGGAAAAAGAAGTCTATTTGCACAATAAAGATTGGTTTCTTGAGGAAATCAAGGAGCGTGACAGAAAATTTGCAGCGTTAAGGGTTGAAATGGTACATTTTCTTTTTATGCGTTTTTTGCAGCTATACAATGTAAAAACGCATATTGACGAGGGGTTGTCTGTGTGTTCGTGTGTCTGTGTGTGTATCTGTCACGCACTTTCATCTCAAGACCTATAAAAGCTGCAGGGCTGAAATTTGGGGAACTTAATCTACATGCGCGTGCCGGCCCCAATTCCGAAAATTGGCGCCATCACCCTTGTGGTACTCGCGCACGCCAAAATTTTTTTGGGGTAAGTTCATAACTCGGGGATCTGAGAAGCTAGAACGCTAAAATCTTAGGCGATGTTCCCTGTCCAAGTGGGCTTTAACGAGTTCAAACCTTGCCCGCGGATGAGCGTGGTACCTGCCTACGGGCCCGTGGAAGTTTCTTCCAGGTAAGTTGCTAACTCGAGAACGTAAGGAGCTGGAAGACTGGAATTTTGAAAGGATGTTTCCTAACAGTTCTGTCGGCCAATCTGAAATTCTTTTAGCTAGAAGCATCTGTCAGAAAATCAGTGCCGTTAGCGACAAAAATCTATGGGGAGCTACGCAAAAAACGCATCTTTGCACGGGCAGCCCTTGCGTTAGCCAATTATTTTTTTTTGTTGTGGCAGCGGTACCTTTGGTGGCAGTTTGTTTTCTTGAATCGCATATATCTTTGTTAAGAAGGAATGTTTGTAGATTCGATACACGGGCGAGCTGCAGGCGGAATTGACCTCTGTAACAGATAAATATGAATCTGCTATGGCAGACGTCAACAAACTGTCATCATCACTTGCCGATCGTGAAGCGGAAATTGTGCACTTAAATGAGCGTATCAAGAAGGTTGGGGAGTTCTCCATTTTGGAAAAATAAAATTTCATTGCTTTATTTTCTTGATTTTCTTCGTTTCGTTTTTTTGGATTATTAGGTGCGCCTCTTTTAAAAGATCCGTGTTTCAAGGTACTGGAAGAGGGTTCGGAAAAATTAAGTAAAGCGGAAGAGGAGCTTTTGGCGGGTGAACGTCTTACTTCAATTTACAAGGAAGCCAGTGAAGATGCTGAGAAGAACCTGCGACAGCTCAATGAAGATTTTGAACATCGTGGCAGATTGCTGGAACAGTCCAAAAATGGTTCGATCATTGTGCTTTCTCATGTGTCCAAAATTAGCCAGTTTTGCTTTCTTTTTCTTGTGAAACCTAACAAGATTGCCGAGACCGCTCGGACAGTAATCATAGGGAACTGGTGGTATCGATAGTAACAGAATGCACTTACATCTCGGACGAATTTATGGCGGACTTTCAGTCAGTGCTCACGCTTTCATAGCTGTAGTGGTATCTTACCTTATCAAAGATCTTGTTTTTTCGAGTACCGCTTATTGATTCGCTGTGTCCAGCGGTTGTAAGCAAACTGAGCCACATTTCAATCTGTTGATTTTTATCATAACAGTTAATCATAGCGATATTTTGCACGTCACAATTTTCCTTTGATGATTACGCGAAGAAAAGAATACTTCGTGGTATAGATTCGTCTTTGTCAGTGTTGTCGTAGCTGTAGAAGTTCGTGGATTCGGTCGTTAGAGTTCGCATATCCGGCTCGTTTTGCTTAGTGATGAGGCTGAAAAAAAGCCTTTGTAATCTTGGTCAGTTCTTTTTCGCATAAGATTTGGAAGTCCTCTTTTTTGTAGCATATGAATCGTTATGTTCGGAATTTGGCGAGAAGCAA